GATAGCGCGTGAGGCACTACCCCGGTGACCCCCCCCCCCCCCCCGCTCAGCCAAATCCCGCCCGCCCGCCAGCCCGCCTGGCTCCGCGTACGTAGATCCGGGCATCGTTGGATGTTGGTGGCTTCCTGAGAAGGGGTGGTGTGTTTGGTGTCTATCGGACCAATGGCAGCTACCTACCTACCTACCTATGTACAAGTAGGGAGTTGGGGGTCAGTACACGAGCCGCTTTTGTAGGGCGGTCGTGGGGAAACCGTATGTTCACGATTCATACCAACCCGCCAAACGGCCAGTTCTGGGTGAAGAATAGAGGCAAGAGAAAATCGGAAAATCATCAACACGAGGTTCTTCTCGGACTGCACCAACTTGAACCGGCCCTGAGTACCCCGGCGGCGTTTCTATGCAGCTGCTGTCCCGACTCGCCTAGTCCTCCCCATCTCGATCATCAGTCCACTGTCCATGCATGTCCTACATTGCAAATACTCTGATTCGTACTTTTATACAAGCGCATGTATGTATAAATATACAAAGCTACCTATCTCGATCCTCTCTCTCTTTCATCCCGGGTCGCCTCGCGCTGCAACCCGTTCGTTCACTTCGCCATGGTAGAGGAACGGCAGACCTCAGCCACCGCCACGACTTACACCGACCTGTGCACATCAACACCAGCATACACACAACAGAGACAGCCACCGACGTTCCTCACCCTCCCCTACGAGATCCGCCTCCAGATCTACGAGTCTCTGCTTCTCTACCCGTCCTCCTCGTCCTCCTCACCATCAACTTCATCACCACCACCACCCACGTCCCTCTTCTCCCCGCGCATCCTCCTCGCCTGCCGCCAGACCCACGCCGAGGCCCGGCCCGTCCTCTACGCCCGCAACACCTTCCTCGCCCACGCCTCCCTGCTCACCTCCTTCCCCTCCCTGACCGGCGCCCACCGCCCGCTCCGCGAGCCCGCCGTCCTGCCCCTCATCCGCCGCTGGCGCCTGCGCCTGCGCCTCGACTGCGACCCGCCCTGGACCGCCGCCCAGCTGTCCGCCGCCTTCTCCGGCGCCGACCTCCTCGTCCTCGAGGTCTGGCAGGCCGCCTTCCTCGCCGCCGGCCGCGGCGTCCTGACCCTCTTCGAGGGCGTGCGCGGCGTGCGCGACCCCCGCGTCACGGGCAGCCTCACCGGCTTCGAGGCCTACGCCCGCTGGCTCGAGGGCGTCATGCGCCAGGGCCCCGGCCGCGACGTCGGCCAGTTCGACGAGAGCTGGGAGACGTCCGGCCTGGTGCCTATGCACTCGGGCGGGTTGATGGCCTAGAAAAAGAGGCTCCTTTTGTCGGCTATGCTCCCATCTGGGCCGAGATAAAAACATGTTCATTTTCCATGGTAAAGACATCACAATCTCATCCATCACGCCTTGCCAATTTTCAGGAAGGCCATGTTGAAAAACTTATCCTTCTTTTTGATTATGTGTTGTACACTTTCGAAAACGGAGCTCTAGCTGAGACAGAGAGAAATCTTGTCTAAAGGCAACTGTTTGTGCCTCGTCTAGCCACTTTGTCGTACCTTGCTTTGCTGTATGTGCCATATACCACACCGTTCTGGAGTGGTTGAGAAATCTAAACGCACCGCCAAAAAAATATCGACATCAGATGCGAACGCTGCAAGTGAACAGACATGTCGAGAGACATGTAGTTCCAACGAATCAATCATCTATCCACCCACCGAACCACCCTCCCAGCTTCCCTCCACTCTTGGTGAGAAAAGGTCTCTTTCGTAACCTGAACGCCTGTTCTTTTGTATCATACCACAACCAAGGCCGAGATGCAATCATGCAGAGGGAAAAACGCATATAGAAGAAGAAGGAATACAACATTGTTTTTTTAAAAAAAAAGAAGACAGAAAGAAAACAGATCATCGACGCGAAGAGATGATAAAAAAGGAGGAGGATCCATCCATCACAGAAGTGAAGGGTCTCCGATGCCAGCTAGATGCGGGATATGCCATGGCTGAAAAAGAATTGCTGTAAGTGCAATGTCGGACAAATGCGCGCATCATCAAAGGTCATGGGGTGAGGTGAGGTGTGGTGTGGTGTGGTGTGGTCTTGTTGTTCAGTGCTGCAGTGGCTTTCGTCCGAGAGCTGGGTCGAGGTCGGGTGTGGGCCACAGCGTAAAAAGAGTGCCGCTCAAAGTGCCGCGCACTGCCGATGCTCACCGGGCCAGCCACTCAACCGAGTCGACCGAGGAAATTGTCTCGCTCTGCGCGACCACTTTTTCTTGGTCATGTTTCTTTTTCTACTTTTTAAGGCTTAGCACCGCCGTTCATCAGACCCGGCAGAGACCGCCATCCCTTCTGGTCCGGCACCTTGATCTTTCCAAAGTCCTCGTCCAAATCCAGGATGATCTTGAGCGCGTTGCGGCTGCGCGCAAACGGGCTCGTGTCGACCTTCTCCTTGAGCGTGGACACGGCCTCGGCCACACCGGTGTGTACCTTGGCCTGCTCGCCGCTGCCCGGGTAGGGTAGCAGGCTCTTGAAGACCTCGTACGCGGCCAGCGTGAAGCCGAACTGCGGCGACGACCGCATGATGCGGGCAGGGCCGCCCTTGAAGAAGGCCTTGAAGCCCTCCTCCTTCATGATGGTCGTGGCTGCGTGTCGCAGACCGGTGTAGTGGGTGTCGCCCTTACGCGCCTCCACCTGCAGACGGGTCTTGATGACGTCGCACGGCGTGGTCAGGTACGCAGCGGGCATGCCGGCGATCGCGCCGGCCGTCAGCAGCTGCAAGATGCCCAGCTTCTTGGTGGGCGACTCGCCAAACAAGTCCTTCTTGAGGTGACTATAGGTGGGGAAGTAGATGGCGGAGAAGGGAACGTCACGCAGCAAACAGGCCGAGGCTCCCTTGTAAAGACCAACAAGACCGAGGTTGCGGACAATCCACATGGCGGAGCGCTTTGGCGCGCCCTCGACCGTCTTTGCGACTTCTCCCTGGACCTGGAGACGGATCTTGACGATTTCAAGAGGGTTGGTGAAGACCTGGACAGGGGGGGGGGGAGATGTCAGTCGTGTGTCTCCGAACAAAACCCAAACGGAAAACAAAGATGTAGGCAAGCAATAACACTTACCACTTGACAAGCTCCAGCAGTACCGCCAGCGAGGACCTCGTGGCCCCAAAAGATCTTGCCCTGCTTGTCGGTGAACCAGCCTCGCACGAGGTCGTTGACCGTGAGCTTGATGGCCTTCTCCGGAGCGACACCGACGAGCTGGGGCAGCACGCCAGAGTACAGGCCCAGGAAACCCTCGTTGCGGATGACCTTCTGGAAACAGTCGATTGAGTTCTTATACAAGCGCTCTCCAGGCCGGGCACCTCTCTGGTTCTGCAGGCGAGTCTTGACGAGGTCGATGGGGTAGACCATGAAGGCGCCAAAGGCACCGGCGACGCTACCGAGGGCAAAGTTGTAAGCAGACTCGAGCGCCTCCGCCAAGAACTTTTGTGTCGCCGTCTTGGTCTTTTGCAGGCGCTGCGAGCCATCCTCGGCATCGTGGCCTCGCCAGGACGGGTCCAGGACCTTGGCAAAGTCAGCCAGGCCCAGCCGGCCCGAGGGGTCGTTGAGGCTGGCAAAGTGGAAGAGGATGTCGGCCTCCATGGGGGTGAAGAGGGAGAAGCGGGTGATCCTGGCCGCCTGGTTCAGGAACTCTGTGCGCGTGATCTTGCCGTCGGAGCTCTTGGCGCAGGCGCGTCGCACAATCAGCTCTACCAGATCCATCTCCTTGATCATGTTCTGGAAGGCCCGCACGTTGGCATACGAGATCTTGCTGCCCTTGGAGATGTTGCAGAGGGTGTGCAGGTTCTCGAGCAGGTGGTCCGACAGCTTGTGCTTGGAGGTCTCGAGGATGATGCGCTCAAAGTCCTCGGGCTCGATGTATCCATCGCCGTCCTTGTCGAAGAGCTGGAAGGCCTGGCGGATCCTCTCGCCCTGCAGACCGCGGAGCATCTGGGAGAACTGCTGGTAGTCCATGTCGTGGCGCTTCTTCTGGTCGCCGATGTAGAGCTTGGCCCACTCGCACTCCCAGTTGAAGGGGATGCTGGTCGGGCCCTTGTTGAGCTCGTACAGCTTGCGGAAGTCTTCGTACTTGACGCTGCCGAGCCTATCGACATCGAAGAGGCGGAAGGCGATCTCATATTCGGCATCGGGTTTGGACAGGATGTTCTCAAAGTAGGTCCAGTCGGCGAGGTTGACGCGGCCAGTGCCCTTTCGGTCGGCAACACGGAAGAGGATGGTGTATTGTTCCCGCTTGATCTTGTGCTGTAGCCATTTGGGGAGTGATTAGAAAGAGAGGTTTCCACGCCACATGGAAGGGCGCGCACCCAGAGGGGCAGAGGCCAACAGGTCGACTTACAAAGTCCTCATCCGCCGGTGCAATGGCATCGATGAACTCGTCAGGGCCCAGGAACAGCTCTCCGCTCTCGGGATCCTTGAAAGCCTTGCTGGTGAACCGGGCCTTGGTGGAGGCGGAAGCCTGGGGGGGCTCTTCGGAGCCGATGAGGCTCTCTCTAACCGCCTCTTTCACAGCGGACGCCTTTGTCGACATTTTGACGGATTACTGAGCACTGGAGGAGGTCCAATGGAGGCCAGGAGAGGTGAACGAGTGAAAACGAGGGTTAAAATCAGCTGGCGCAGTGGAACAACCCGGGGAACCCTTTGTGGGGCCCAAAGCTCTCCTCTTGCTGGGGGTTGGCGCAAAGAACTGGGGATTGCTCGGAGAGCCCGCTGGCCCCTAATAACGGAGAGGTGAGGCGATCGTGAGGGCAGCTTGACTTTGCGATTGCAGCCTGCACACCCTGAGTGAAGGTCAAGTAGTAGAAGATGTAGCGTCGCAATGTGCACGGCGCCTCCAAAAACACTAGAAACAAAAGGGATCCTGCTTGGGAGCCGGTGTAGAGAGGGCTGAAGATGATGGTGATGTGTCACACTGTCAATGGGCCTCACTCAGGTTTGGCGCGATTTTTTTTTCTTTCTTGGTGGTTCTGCGCGCTGCGCTTGCTGATGGTCTGGGCCCGCAGCCTCCGTTGTCGCTCCAAGCCAAGCCTGGTAAAAATTTGGGCGGGAACGGCGGCGGTTCGGATGACGGAAAGCCAGGAACGGGCACAATTGTCCCAGACCAGTGCCCCGGATTGGCTATTAATCCGCGCCTAGCGCCACCATCTCTCCCCCTGGGTCCGCTGCATGTGATGTCTGGTAGGTCCGGTACCATGCTTCTAGGTAATTTCAAGTCACCAATCTGGGGCCGGCCCCATGCCTTGCTGGACAAACTACGGGCACTTCCGGAGCAGAACCAGACATGTTGGTTTCCATCCTTTGAGTAGCCTTTCAGATACCTACTTTCTTCCAATGTTGCTCATTTATTGTATCCAGCCTGGGAGTTTCTTGGCTTGAGAGAGCACTAGTAGCTTAATGTCGATGATGACTGGATGGATGTTGGAGGCTCTGAGCTACCTAGTTACCTTCTTTACTGGGTAGAGAAACAAACCACCACAACTCGAGCCTCTTCAAACCTACGAAGTAGTGGATTCCCACATGCAACAACAATAACAATAAAACAACACTCTCGGCGCCGAACCCCCACGGACTCTTGCGCGCAGAACTCTGACCCCACACAGGTTGTCCCTTGTTCGCTGTTGGATGTCGAAACTCCAATACAAGGACCCCGACCATGTAAACTACCCACTGTACCTACGAGATTTGCTAGGTATTCTCCAGGCTTGGATTCCTCCCTCCACTTATTAGTGCCGGTTGAAGGGAGTCGCATACTGGGGACCAAAGGAGACCAAGGGAGACCCTCTCCACGCAACACCAGCAACACCAACACCGCACCAAGGGACATTTGCGGGTCCCGTGCGCGATATGGACCATCGATCATCGATGCACTGCACATACTGTACATACGTACCTACGTTACCTCTGCAATCACTGGGTACGTGTAGGCACACCCTCGCGAAAGCACATGGCAGGTGTCACGCAACCAATTGAGTCCTCTCGATCATCTTTGAACGATAAGTAGACGCGGGTCCATTCCACGCCCTCGCCCTAGGCAAAATCAGATAGAAAATACAGTACACTATCACTCTATGCAGTGTGATCCACAGCCCCCCTAATATCTGACGCCCCTGATTTTTGTTGCCTTCTTCTATTGCTGTATGGTATGTAATAGCATGAACCCCAACCGCCTTTCTGCCATGCCATGCAGAAATCCTGTATATACCACAACGCCACCGTAAAAAAAGATTAGGGGGGATCAAAGAAGCCCTCACCCCTCCCCTCCCCTTGCCAGTCAGGCTGGAGAAAGAGACCGAGAGGAAGAGAGCGGCATGTAGGGCGTAACAAGAGAGCCAGCATATCGCGGCATGGAAACAGGAGAATATCGTCGTGGTCTCGTGGTCGGTCATGATAATGGCAGAGCCGTGATTAAGTTGGGGTTGAGGGATGAGCGCTAGGCGGCTGCTCCTCGTAAGGTGAAAAGGCAAGCACCGCAAGGCAAACGGAAAGAAACTCGAAGCTCAAGGCAGGCCTCGTGGTGGTGGCGGACATTGTTGGGTCCAAGATCGACTGGATGACATATCTTGAGAATCAGCGACGAAGCAGACCGCCCTCATAATGCCCAGCTGTGCAAGCCCAAGCGCGAAAATTAAAGGTCTGTCTCTGTCGAGGCCGAACGGGTCGATGTAGAGGCGAGCCAGCTCCATGAGCAGAGAGCATACACCCAAGCTCAAGCGCATACCGGGAAAAAGATGTACGATGATGAATTGAAAACAAGACGAAAGTTGCGAGGCTCCCACATCGGCTCAGCCCTCAATAGGGATCAGCAAGCCAGCCTCGCGCGACGCGAAGTGCTGGACTACTGAGCTGTCATCGAGTAGATTGGGAATCGAGAAGCGCATCGAAGCTGGCTGAGGGGCAATGACGAAACCCTTCTGGATCTCCTCTTCGACAAAGATGGAGGCCTTCTTGAAACGGCGGTCGGCATACTTCTCATACACCGCCGAGTGGTGGATGCGGGGAGTCTGGCAGCACTCCAGGATCATAACCACGAGGTGCTTGAGCTGGCTCCAGGTGTAGCCAGAGTAGTGGGTGTGAGCGGGTGACTAAGGTAATCCGAGTTAGTAAGGGTTTCCACTGATGGTCTCGCAGCCAGTCCTGACAAGCAAACATACCCAATCGCCCTTGCCGAGCATAGCTCGCGCAAGGCAGTGAGCCCCAGCAGCTAAGAAGCTCGGCGGGCTGCCGACGAAGCGCTCGTCCATGATAGTGACCTCGAGGAAGTATTTCGCGAGGGTGCGAGTCTCTAGGTCATACTCATCGGCCTTGCTGATTCTCCGCAGGAAGCTCATCGGTCCGGGCCAGCCGAGCTCAAAGCCAAGCATGCTGAGCATGAAGCGCTCAGCCTTGAGGATCTCGTCGACAGAATAACCGCCGTCGACCATGTACACGATCTCCTGGATCGAAGGGCAGTTAATCTCTTCGTATTTGGCAGCAATGAAAATGGCAGTGGCGCCGACGAGCTGGAGCTTGCCAACCGAAACGATCTTGGAGGTCAGAAATCGGTCGATGTAGTTGACAGTCAAGAACAACGTCTCTGGCAGGAGGCTGAACCTATGGTGCACCTGCACAAGCCATTCCATCAGCACCGACCGCATGGACCACTGGATCTCGGTCTGATTGTCCATATAGTGAGAATCCGGGAGCATCTTGGCCTGAAAAAGGATCTGTCAGTTATCCACTCAAGAGGGCAGGCAGGAACACGCGGGCATGAACGACGTACCTCGAGCTGCTTCATGTAGTCGAAGATCTCATCACCGTACTCGGCGACCATACTAACGTCCCAAGCCTCTTCATCCAGCTCTTCCTGAGTGAGCCGGCTCTCGACAAGAACCTTGGCGTTGTCGAGCTCCCTCTGGATCTTGGCAGTGACCTTGGGGACTATGACGGTGGTTGCACCTCCGGTAGTGTTGTCTCCAAGAGAGCGATAGGAATGAGCGGTCGTATAACCTTGGTCGTCGTAGAACTCTTCGTCCTCGTCCCAATACTCCTCAGCTTCCGACAGGGGCTGGGTGGCAACGCCTTGCTGCGAAAGCGAGGTGGCTTCGATGGGCAGGACCTCGCTCTCGGAACCCACAGCCACGGCCAGATCCTGACCGAGAGCCTGCAGGGCGCGCACATCGATGTCGTCGTAGATGTCTGCGTGGTGCTCCAGATCCTTCTCATCGACTTCGCGAACGGGCCAGTCCAAGAGCCGCAGGTCCTCGACAGCATCTACGTAGGGTGTGTCCACCACATCTTCATCTTGCAAGACGACTGGCTCGTGTTGCTTGCTATGGTCGTTGAGCGTGCGGCTCTGAGTTCGCCGGAGGACAGGTTGATCGGCCTTGAGGTGGGGCTGGCTCCTATATTGGCGCGGGCTCTTGCAATCTGTGGGCTGCTGTCTTGTCTGTGCGGTTTCGTGATGGTATTGTTGGCTGTGTGGCTGGTTGCTCTCCGCGTCGTTGTAGATCATGGTCTTCTTGGCAGCACCATGTTTGGGGACGGCTGGCGCGTGCGAATCATTCAGAGGTACAAGATGCGCTGCCCTGGGGATAGCCTCAGTCTCGCGAGCCTGGTGAAAGCTTCGTAGATCTGCCACCGACGCATAGTTCTTTGGCCGTTGAGCAGGTTGGAGAAAGGTTGACTTGCCCTGTGGGGCGTTCTCCTTGCCGATGTTCGACTTGGGCATCGCATGCTTTGCGTCCACGATTGGGACGCGTGCAGCGTTGTTGCTGACATCGGCGAAAACAGCTCGGCGGATGCCGTTCTTAATCCCGCCATTGCCAGCCATGGCCTTGAGGTTTCCTGCTGACTTGTGCCGTTGATGGAGGAGATGGGCAGCAGGTGGTGCGTTCTCGTCGTGTGCTATCGGGGGCAGGAAGCCTCTCGGGGGGCGTTGAGGCTGTTCAGAGTCAGTCAGCAAATGGCATTGATGATAATTGAGGTCATGAAACAAGCGATATCTGAGGGATGGCTCAGAGGGGTGCTTTATTCTGACGCATCCGAGGGTCTTGCCGGGGTTGCTGCTGTTGTTGAAGGAGGGAGAGAGAGGAGAGGTGGCAAGGAGATGAAGGAGAAACTCAAGTCGAGGTCCAACTCACCTTGGCATCCATGTTAGCGGTGATGTTGTAGCGAATATCGTGTGACTCTGCTGTCTGATTGAAGACTTGGGATGGCAATGAATACAATTGGAAGATGCTAGGAGGAGGGGGCAGCCCAAGTCGTGTATCGAACCATCAAGAAGGGGCCTTTTCGTCCCGACTTCTGGCTGACAACGTCGTGGTTTCCTGCAACGCCGAGGCAGATGTTGACTAGAGCGAGGTTTGCGAGGTGGCCAGGGTGACGGTTGACATGGAGGACGAGAAGGCGGAGGCGGACACGGAGGCGGAAAGGGCGCAGTCGCGGACTCGTGGTGAGTCGAGGGTTGTAAACAACCTTGACCTGAGAAGGGTTGTTTGCTGCAAAGACTGGAAGGGGTTGTCCTTTGCGGCGAGAGCAGCTCCCTGTGCCTGAGCGATACCACGGAGACGAGAGACGAGAGACGAGACGAGGAGCAGTTGCTACTCGTGACGATGACGCGAGCCAACGGCCGTGGCTACGAAGAAAAACAAACGTCTTCACCCTGAGGTCGCGCTTGCTGCACTGACCACCGATTAGCCCGATATTTTGGGGCAAGTGAAGGGAGATATAGTTAGTTGGTGAGAAGAAAGACTCGAGCAAAAACAACACAAACACAACATGCAGAGGCCACTGTTGATGTTATGGTACCTCGGGGAATTGCTGAGGCATGGGGCGCTGCGCTCTCCTAAGCTACGGGATGCTGGAGCTGCAGGAGACGTTTGTTTATTGATGCAATTTCCTGGCATTGCATTGGCCAAAAGCTACGTACCTCCACCCCTGTCGGGTCGAGCTAAAACCCTCTAAGTCGAGTTTATGCTGCACCCTGGTCGGCACGGCGATGGAGAAGTTCCGGCGATCCCTGCACGCTTTTCACTGGACGTCAATGATCCAGTACTGGAGTACGGTGGGGCCGTGTGTACTAGCGCTAGCGGTGCACGGACCAGGTCGCGTCTTCCAGCCCGACTCACCAGACGTATATATGCAACATTCGCGAGCAAAACCTCCCTTGATAATGTATAAGAGAAACCTTATAGAGTCGGAACCCCAGAGCGGCTTGCGTCCGCAACTTATCTCGAGGTTTGGAGCTCTAGACGTTGCGCATTGGCGGTCTATATCCGTGGATGCTGGTACGTGTCGACTCAGTTTGTCAACAGCACCAAGATCACACGCAGTCACGTGAGTCAATTAGTCGAGTCGTGGGTGTTTTCTGTCGCAATGAAATGATGGGGGGGGGCGCGCACGCGGTGAAGAGTGAAGACTCAAGACGCACTTCTTCAACTTTGCACCGTACCTCAAAAGCGCATGCCGCGCATTTGTTCCTGGCCCTGTCGCGCGCAAGAACGAATGGTTTGCGCTCTCTGTTGGCAACGTCGCGCCTTCAGCAGATGGTTCAGGTAGACAGACGCAAGTCTGCTGGGCTGTATCCTCAGGGTCGGGCGCCCTGGCGCACACGGCCGCCAGTTTCACGACCACTGGCCCCAGCCAGTAGGATGCCAGGCGCATTCCTTTCTGAAGCACTCCGCGACCCGCGAGACCACTCGCCTTTTCACCCTTGCTCTCGCGCCAGAACAGCTGTCTGTGGGAGCTATCGAGCCTGCGACCCGACAAGCAATACATGCGCAGCACTGGCGCATGCTAGGTTAGTCATGGAGTACCTACGTATGATTTCGGCTCTTTTGATTGCTGCTCTTGTCGTGATGAAAACGAGGGTGGGGGCGTGGGCACAGAGCTGGATGACATGGATGTCTTTGATCACGTCAGGGAGATTGCGGCTGCGCTGTCGTTGGTGAACTGGCTCGTCGAGAAACAATTGAGCGCAAGAGAGTCGATATTTATCGACAAACTGCCACTCGACCCTTTCCTTTCCCAGGATCAGCACAACCACCGGTATGAGGAGCGTGTGGGCGGCTTGTTTGGGGAGCTGAGACTGAGGTATGGAGTAGTTACGGAGTAGGTGTGTAGACCATCCAAGCAGAGAAAAACCACAACCCGCGCGGAACAAAAGAGGCAATGACTGCACCCACCCGCTCCAGTTAGCGCTGAGGTATCGTCATTTGCCGGTTCTCGGCCCTCTCCGCTCTGCAAGTCGGAGAGGTCTCGCATCCCCCTTCGTATCATCCCAGGTTTGGAGGCGGAACCGCCACAGAGCTGATGATGTCGAGGTAGCGCCAGTGTCTTACTGACATCTCCGATGGTGGGCATGCTGCCAGGCTTTGCATGCCATTGCGAGCGAGGTGGATCAATCGTTGTCGGTGTGGTGCCAGGCAGTCGATCCTGCTTGGGTGGCCACTTTTGTTCATCGGCAAAACAGCCAGGGTTTTTAGCAAAAACCCCACCGAGCAAGACAGGATGCGATGGGATGGCTGCTCCGCAGGACATCTGTACGGAGTACCAAACAAAGGAGCGCCCAGTCCATGGTCGGCGTAGATACCTAGGTAGATACAGCGAGAGAGTAAAGCACGCTGCGATCGCCGGTGTTGCTGTGTCGCGCGAGGCGACCTGTCTCCAGTCCTGCTCGCCAGCGCATGAACTCCAACGGTTCGTTCCAGACGGGCCAGGTCCAACTCCGCATCTGGGAAATGTCGCAAGCAAGTGCCGCGCGCGCCCAAGTCAATTACTCTGCGACAAGCGGTCTGGGGCACATCACCATTGCTCTTGACCTTGACAGGTAAATAGTCGGACAGGGGCCACAATGGTCGACGGATGATTACCAACAGAATACCTAGGTACCTTGATGCTAACAAGCCGTACCATTCATTCATTACTTGTACTTGTGTGCTGAGCATCCACGACATCATACGGGTTATCACTATCCACAATTGGGCTTGGTAGGTCTGAAGTAGTCCTGGTACACAGCCCATCGACTCGTCTGACTAGTTATCACCGAGAGTGTGCAAACCCAAAAGCTGTCTAGACGGCCTAGTACATGTACTCGTAAGTAGGCAGCTCGCCGGAATGGTCGGCGCACGGTTTGGGTTATGCGGTTAGTGCCGAGGGCACCACCAAATGCGGGTTCCTTCGTACACCTCTTTCCCTCTTTTCTTCCCTTTGGCTCTCTTGTGCCATCCAAGGTGTGCGACACATGAAGAGGATAGACTGAACGGTCTTGGTTGCTGGCGGGGATCGATGCTGTTTTGGCGACAGGCCCTGCCACCTTTCATCTCGCCCGGTCAAATGAGTTGGCGCCTACAACATTGCGCCTGTCTGGCATGTCAGCTTGGACTTGGGCGGCAAGGAACGAAGTACAATCGCCCGCCATGATTAGTTGCAGCCTCCCAAGACCATTCTCTACTTCGTACATTACGGAGTACTTCATACCTATTCTCCGGGCTTCTACAAACTCTGGGCACTTGAACTCGCACCAGTGGCATTGATGAAACACCGCCCGGGCCAATCCTCTGTTTGCGCCGATCGTTGCGATCCGTCCAGCCACCCCCCTTTGATCATTTGCGTCGGGGTGTGTCCTTGTATGGTGTATCTGAGTGCGTACTGCGTGTGTGTGTGCGTGAACATGGTGTGTGCAAGGCAGTCGGTATCTGCAGTTTTGCCATCCCCCCTCCCCGGGCGACCATTGACAAGCAAGTATCTCGGAAGGGTAACGAAGTCGGGTGGGTCTGGTCCCTGTCTCTTGTCTCTTCCTGACAAGATATGTGCTGGTTGCCTACTACTTTACGAAGAAGAGTCCCAGTCACTTTGGTCGAATCCAAGCCGGGTTATCCAGCGCCTAAACTTGCGCATTATCTCATCTGGTGTCTCTCATGTGGCCAGCATTCCCGAGGACCATTTTTGGCTTTCCAGACTGGCCCTTTCCCCTCTTTGGGTCCAGACACACTGGCAGCAGATCCCTGCCATCTTCTGGGCTGGCTTACCCAGAGGCGCCGCGGCCATTGGCTGGTGACCATGGTAGCTCGCCCACAAGGTGCACACTCATGGGCACCGCATGGTTTGTTGCGAAGCGGTCGTTCATATCCGCTGGCGCGCTCTCGTCCAAGACCTTGCTGGCCGCGGGTCCCAGGCCCAAACAACTCCTGCGGAAGAAGCTTCTTGGCTCCGTGGCCAATCCCACCGCCCCCTCTGGCATGTATCAAAGACTGGCCAGATTGGGGTTGCTTTGGGTCTCAGCATCAGGCGACACTGTTCCCTGAGCTACTGCGTACTGTTGAGCAGTGGGCTTGAGCCTGTCAGGTGAGTGGATACGAAGCGAGCGCAGACTTTCGGCAGCGCAGCTAGTTAGTGAGCCATCCTGGAACAAGAATGGGTCCTTGGCTCAAAGAGACGGTCTGCAGCGGTTGAGCCAGGCGGCCAGACACACAGTCGGCGTCAAAGTACCTACCTACTGTGTGCCCCCGAGTCAGAGAAAGCTCCCGGCGTCGTTCCATGTCGAGGCGGCATTGGCTCAGGGGAGTCCGTCTGGGGCTGCCCAAGATCCAATCTCGATGTGCAAGCGAGATAATTGTACTGGTAGAGAATGGCGCACGGCGCACGGAGAGCTGGCGAGAGAAACTCGGGGGGCCATCATGATTTGTGCACCATTGCGAGGCAGTGACGAGATACCCAAGGTAAGGGAACTACGGTCCTCGATCTGCCGTGCGCCAGGGACGTCGGGTAGTCTCCGAGCTGGAAGAGCAAGTCCAAAAGGTGCTCTGCATCAGCGCTTTTCAACTGCGATGGACTCTGGGAGGTCCTTAGGCAGTGCCTCGGAACTCAAGACCATAGTGGTCTCGAAGTCTTAAACATAAGGTAGGTGATGGAAAGTTAAGAGCATCGCATAGGTAGTTACCTCTACTTCAGACTCAACAGTTCCCTGTCGCATACCCTTTTACCTTGGCACAACAGCACAACACATCATAGTACAACTTATGCCGCTCGACAGGGAGGCTGTTCTGAACCAGGCAGTCTATCTTTAGACGCAATTGCTTGCCATGCGCCTCTGTAGGTTCATAAGACCAGCTTGATTGCCATTCGAGCACACAACCTCTTGCTTCGACCTCTTGCTACGTACGAGTTTGGTAGCCGACGAGTTCTTCAAACAAGGTACCTCTGTGAGCAAGTAATAAGTAGGGTAGCGAGGTACATAGGATGCTCCTGTGACACTGGTTTGAACGGGCGCATTCAGCAGGTCTCAAGGTTCTGTTGTTCTGCCACGCCCCCCCAGCCGTTCCTAGCGGATTGGCCTCCCCGCATGATACCGATCTGGGCCACCAAGGCGAAACCGTGCACATCTCCAGCATAAGTCCTTTTACAGGCACGCAGAAAGGCCTCGGGGAAGTTCCAAAGTAAAATAGATGTAATACATAGACCGAGGGCAAGGAGGCATCCATTTGCGACCACTTCTACGGGCTCAATAGCAGATGCGCCCTCGACTCGATCTCGTCCAGTGCCAGCGCGAGGGCCGAGATAGGCTGGCTGGATGAGGCCGCTAGCACCTAATGCTAATGGATGGGCGGGCCCTGTGGTGACTTATGCAAAGTCACCTATCCATACCTGGAAAAAAAAGAGTGCTAGCCTGGAGAGGTGCTGAAAGGTGCTTCTGGTGCGGGTGCGGGTGCAGTGCATGCGGTTTTTGCGCAAGCCAATGAATGTCTGGCAGACAAAACCTATCATCCTCGCTGCGATTTCTCCTCTTCTTCCCACAACCTCCGAATTGTTCGATCAGGGCCATCAAACAACCCCAAATCCTTCTGGTAAGTCATTTCCACCATCTCCGAACCCGTTCGAGACATCTAGCACCAATTCCCTCCTGGCCCACGCTGTAGCTTTACCGCTCCTTGCTGACCCGGTCCTCGTCGCAGATTCGGCTTGGTTGTGCATGAGGAGAAACCCGGATCGCAGTGCCATCTGCTCGACCCTGCAATCCCTCTCCTTCGTTTATAGTAAGTCTATCCTGCGCCGTTATCCCTCGCGATTCACCGGCCGCATCTTCACCGTCGCCCTCCCTTGCCTGCCCGCCGGCTTGCCCGTCATGGCGTAATGGCCAAAGACGGTGCGCTCTCTCCAAGCCGTACGGCGTAACAGTGAGCGCATTTGCTTCCAGCCCAGCCCATCCCGACTGTAGACCGCAAAACATGCCTTCGAGAGCGTACCAAAGGCTAATCGCACTTCTTGTATTGCTAGTTCTCCCAGATCATCACTCGTCGACTTGCCTCCCTCCTCCCAGGGCTTGTCTCGCTGCCGTCGTTCGGCGGTGACCGAGCAGATCCTGACCGACCACCCACCCATCCTTCTGTCGACCGCGCGGCCGCCTCCCCAACTCTCTCGGGGCCACTCCATATCTCCAATTGACAAGAAACCGCTCGGGGAGCCTGTCGCAAGAAACGATTCGTGTGATGGAATTTCTGAGCTTGGTCACGGCTGCTTCCTCAATCGATCTTTTTCAGGCCGACGCAGCGGGCGCACCGTCCCAACACACACCCCTCCAGACTCGCCTGCCCGACGCCGCCTCTTCCTCTTCCGTAGCCATCCCCACCCCCCGCGACAGCGATATGGAATATTCTCCGACTACAGAGACTGCGCATGCCGCAAGGCCTGTCCATTCCCCCAAATCCAAGCCCAAGCATGTCTGCTTCGAATTGATCTCTGCCGAGTCCCCCCAATACCGGGCGCGCCTCCCCATGCGGGTTGGCATCTATCCCCATGACACCACAGAGTCCATTGTGACTACTGTCAAGAATTTCTACGGGCTTTACTCAAGTCCGACCAGCTCAAAGGGTGTGAGCTTCGAGGACCAGTCGGGCAACACTCTGATTGCCCGCTACGAGAACTTCCAGGACCAAATGATTGTCTATGTCAGGGTCACTGAGGAGCCCACGCCCGTCGCTGGCGGCTTTGGCGCCCGTGCATACCACTCACCGCCCGTCGGCGCGCAGGCATACGTCAACGAAGACCCGTACCCGATGCAGGCGCCACAGCAGTTTGGCCAGATGATCTCCAGGCCTGGCTCGAGAACTTCGAGAAGGCGCAGTCCCTCTCCCAACGGCGGCCGGGGCAGACGGAGCGCCTCCACGAGCACAAATTCGAAGAGGTCGCGGTCCGTCAAGAACCCAGACGCTTGCAGCGACAGCGTGAACGGGTACAGCAGCGGCGATGGTGCGCCTGGCTCGGCCTCTGGGAAGAGCAAGGAGCAGATTGGGAACACCGAGATTAGCGTCGAAAACATCGTTGAAGGCGGGCGCCGCAAGCGGGCCAAGTTTGAGAGCTCGGTATGTACTAACCAGGTTGCCCCCTCTACCCAATCTATAGTCAGCAGGCTGTTAACAATGCCGGGCTTCCCCGCCGAAAGGAGCTGCCGTTGTTTGCTCCTCCGCAGATGCCTGCAGCCACCTCTAACCCATCCGTGTCTCCTGCTCGCCGCATTGAGCACCACCACCGAGCTTCCCTCCCTTTCGTCCATCCAGGCGCCAATCCTTTCACCAACCCCCGACCCATCGTGTCACCACAATCCTACAACCATGCGCCTGGTCTGGGCGGTTATGTTACCCCCATGGCCGATGGCCGTCGGACTCGAGGAAGCATTCAATACCCTAGCGGGCCCAATGGCACGGGTACGGGCGTCCTTCCCACACCCGACCCGACTGTTGGCAGTTGCATGTCGGAGGAAGACAAGGATGTCGCTATGCAGCTCATGAGATTAGGTGACATCTCCAACATATCTCATGGCAGAAACTCGGCCTCTACTCAGGATGACACGTTTAGCGGCAAGGCCGATGCGGCCTCGTCGACCGGCGCTACCAGCGAAGAGGACAGCGAGAGCGACGACGAGCTCCCTCCCGCTCGCAGGCAAAAGCTCGACTCAAATGGGCTCAGCCAGGGCATCTATCAGACAACCGAGAGTCACTTCATTCCTTCCAGCGGCACAGTCGAGGCCAGTGGCGACGATGCCGATTATGAAGATGGCTCCATGCACCACAAGAAAGCCAGGAGTAGCTTGCCTAATGGTGCTAAGCCACGCACCCAGGCGGCGGGCGCCAAGCCGAAGCCCAAGTCGAGCAAGCCCAAACAGACGGCGGTCGCAGCCAAGGTCAAAAAGGTCGGGCCAGCGCCGAGCGGTCCCATGTCGCCGGCCTCGCTGCCTGCCTCGCGCAAACCATCCATCGTCTCCAGCACCGGCATGCCCGGGACCATCGGCGAAGACGACCAGCCCGACCTCTCCACCAAGCCGCGCTGCCAGCGCTGCCGCAAGAGCAAGAAGGGGTGTGATCGCCAACGACCCTGCGGTCGTTGCAAGGATGCCGGCATTCCTGCCGAGCTTTGCATCAGTGAGGACGAGGGCAACGGCCGAAAGGGAAGATACGGTCGCCATATGGGGGTCCCCATCAAGAAGGAGGACGCTCCCGCTCAGCCCGCCCTACTCCCTGCCGCCCCCATCGCGGCGGCCGCCCCTGCGGTGCCCAGCTTCCCGACAATGGGTGGCGACAAGAGCAAGAAGCGCAAAAGGTAGACAACCCTCCCGCTTAGACTCGGCTTGTCCGTCTTGAAGCCCAATGCGGCCCTGTCACTGTGATGGGGACGCAGCTATTGGTCATTTATCGGCATTCATGACTCCGCCTGCTCGGCATGGAGACATGATTGCTGGTGTGAATTTATTATCCTGGTCAGACGATACTTGCGTGCAAAACAAGACCACATGGATCCCTGGTGTCCGTACAACCCGCGGCATATCATGTTTGCCGAAAGATCTGTTGCTTCGCTTGGTTGATTATTTATTGTTGCGTGGCTTTTGTATCTGCTTTCCGTCACTGTTTTCCGGGACGGTTCGGTGTTATATGGCGGGAAGTAATGACGACGGCCGCAAGGAACTAGCCGTCATCCACTCCTTTTATAGAGATCTACGAGTGGTGGGAACCTGTGAAGGCGTTGAGGAGAATTTGGTATCTGACATTTCCTTTCTTTGAGCTTGTGGCAGTCGTCTTGCGGAGAATGGGCAGAGCAGTGGCCCGCGGCGGTGTTACACTACTTTCTCGCCCAGGTGTTCGACAAAAGCTTGAGGTGTGTATTTGGTGTTGACGATACCAACACAGCGATATACAGATGGCAGAAATGAGAAAGGACAAAAAAAAAATGGATATTTCCGAGAGCAATGCAGTACAACAAGGTTCAACGACGGAATGGCGCGGGGAGTGGCCAGAGAGTCGATCTATCCCTTGGCGGATAGGGTCCGGTTGGGCACACGGAGCACAAAGGGCACGAAGGGTCGAATTCTAGACCTGCAAGGGTCTGTGGTGTGAGATTACAAAACCCTGGGAAACGGTGGCAAATGGGCGGTTTATCTGGATTTGAGAGGGCTGACTTCGGTACCTGGGCTTGCTTATCACGCTTCCTTTTGTTTCCTTGCTGTTTTTGGTCAGACAAATCATCGGCAACTCCTCGGATGATTGACCGCCTGTCTGCTGAAGTTGGTGTGTTCCGTTTTTGTCAAGTTGTAGTTCGCGAAAGCAATTGAGATGAAATTGATTTGTTCGAACTCGAAGTTCTGAAGAACCAATGGGTATTTCAGTGCGTGGCAGAAATCAACACAGAGAATGTGATCCCACACCACCACAACATACACCCACCCAATCAAGGAAAGATGGCAGATGTGACAATTGCGATTCCAGAGCTTGTGGCCATCCTCCAGCTTGGCGGCCCACTGCACGATGCTCCCTGCACCCTCGATTTGGAAAGACCCGAGACGAGTGACGAGTCCGCAGGTGGTGCGTCCGTTGTCGGCATGAACTACTGTTGGCTTACACCGCTGCCGCAACACACCATCTCGAATAACAATCACCTCGCATCAAAACCCAGACCAACCACTAATGTATGACACATTGGTAAACCTTGCCGCTAGTCCATGACACTTGGTTAAACCCTGGAGCGGTAAGGCCACTTAATGGAGCACATAGTGACCCGGGATGGAGGACAGGATGGAGGGAACCTTTGACAGACTTCCCATGGCGGCTCAAGTCTCTCGCTAGCCTCTTGAAGCATGGTGCCGGTCTCATGCAGGTGCCCTTCTGCCTCTTGAAATGCGGACGCTTTTCCCTCCCATCCACGACGTCTGCACTCAGGCCCATCTTCCGACTGAACTTGACAGACTAGCCGTCCCGGCGATGGTGTGAAGTCCAACTTAAACTCATGAACTAGGCCCTAGACGGTTTAGCGGCTTCCGGCGCGGCATCTGCTACTGCGGGGCCGTTGTCCTCGGTATGCCTGGTTTTGGTGGGGTCAAGAACTGGGCAAGTAGGTACCCCTCAATTGCCAAATTTGGAAAGGTTTACGTCACCCGCCGCCTTCCGCGTTAACAATTCTCCAGGCGGCTACTCTGTAGGTACCTCTGTACATGTACCCAAGTGTCTTCGCCCAGACCGACCAAAAGAAAAAAAAAACGTGACTACTGGAAGGGTGCTGACCGGACCGGGGTAGGTACAAAGGTACTTCATTCATAAATTGTCCACCTCTCCATTCTTCACTCTTTTCCCATCACTTTCCCCTCCCCTCCCCCCTCCCCTCTTCGCCTTCGCCTCTCGGGGCCCTGGGCTGCCCAATTCACACGCGTTCGATGGCAAATGCAGATGTGCTCTCCGGGCAAGTTCATGTGGCCATGGCTGTTCGAAATAGCCACTCGTCTGACAAGACATTTGGCATCAGCTCTCCAGACTGCTTTGCGTGTGGCAGCCCCGGGTCTATCACCGGCCAACCGTCCTTTTGGAGGTTGGGAGGGAGGGAGGGAGGAGGGATGGATGGATGGAGCCCCATTGTGTTGCTGCAGCATCAGTGCCTGACAAACCGGCCCCATCCCTCGCGCACGAGAGCCATGGCCAGACTCGTGCCCTGGTTCCCCGTCAACACACCTCACCAGACCTTGTCTGGGAATGGCAATGCTCGAGAGGAGCTGGTGTGCTCGGGTCTTGGAAGCGCGATAACGGAGGCCCAGATGATTCGATGGTAAGTTGGCGGCATGACTAATTGTGTTTGGGCGAGGGAGCGGCGAAAGCTCTGGAGAATCAGATCCCGAAAGCGTTGCAGGAACCCCTGATCTGTCCCAGCCGGCAGCCTCCCCGGCACAACACCTCGTGATAGCCCACAGTAGCGCCAGTGAAACGTGCTGTCATCGCTCCCGGTCTGGACTTTGATATCGTGGATACGCTGTGGAGCTCAATGTCAGCTAGCGCATGTGCTGCCACTCAGATGGCGGCTCAATCCCACGGGCATCAAGCGTACCTGAGAAATTGGCCCAGCCGTCGCGACAATCCATTCCTCGGGCCCCCAAAAGTCGATGATGCCCGGATGATGAGTCTGGACTACAGCCCCTTGCCGGCGTCGTGGCACCTCTCGAGCATGGCGGGACCTGCGATGCTCACGATACTCGCGTCCTTCAGTTCCGCAAAGCCCCCCCTCCTGGCTCCAGCAAGTGCGCGGCCGGTAGGATGCGAAATGGGTCTGCCTCTGTTGCTGTGTCCAGGTCGGACCGCTCGTGAACTTGAAAAAAAAAAGGGTTTCGACCACGAACTAGAGCACCCTCAGCAATGTCGCAGCCGACACTATCGCATCTCTCGCCCACATCGTGAACCCGCCAGATGCCCACAAGGAATGCGAACAGCTCATCACACCGCATCGACTCGGGACGGTCGTCGGTGGCATTTGTGCACATCTAGGCTAGATGCATCCCCGCTGGCCTCTTTGGTGTCTGAATTTTCAGGTGTCGGTGCATCAGAGTGGTGAGGAGACGGTGGGCGATGTGCGGTCGGTCCGTCTCCCCATCATCAGAGTGTTCCGTTAACGGAGATGCATCCTTTTTGTTTGAGACAGACGAGACCTTTGGACAAAGATAAAAGGAAGCCTTCGACGCTGGCAGATCTCTTGTTTGGAGCATCTTCACCGTCATCATTATCGGCATCAGAGCAACTAACAGTCTCATTATCGTGTTCGCTATATCCCTAATCTTAATACATATATATACACCTTCAAATTTCCTCCAAATCCTTTCCCTGTCTCGGTATGGCTACCGCTGGCGATATTGAGAAACTCTCCAAGTCTGCTGAGTCTTGTGTTGTCGCTGTCTACAGTGTCAAGTCTGATTCCAATGATTCCCTTGCGTCCCTCAACACCCCTTCCCCGTCGCCTCCGCCGGAGCTGGATGTCCGGGAGTTTGTACCCCCTGATGGTGGTTTCATTGCTTGGGCTCAGGTTGTTGTCGGGTTCCTGACCAATGCCGTCACCTGGGGGTTCCCAACCATGTTTGGTGTCTACCAGCACTACTACATTAGCACTATCGGTATGGACGCGACCGCTGTGCCATGGATCGGCTCCGTGCAGATCTTCCTTGCCTACTTTATGTGCACCGTGTCCGGGCGCCTTTCCGATGCAGGATATGCAAAGTCGACGCTGCTTGCCGGCGCCACCCTAGCCGTCCTGGGGACGCTGGCCACCAGCTTCTGCACCCGGTTCTGGCAAGTCATGCTCGCCCAGGGCATCTGCACCGGCCTGGGACTGGGTCTCACTGCCACGGTCTCCGTCCCTGCCATCAGCTCCTACTTCCAGAAGAAGCGCTCCATCGCGCTCTCCATATCGACCACGGGCACGAGCGTGGGCGGCGGCATCTTCCCAGCCATTGTTCAGTATCTCATGCCCAAGATCGGCTTCGCGTGGGCTGTTCGCTGCGCGGCCCTGGTTGCCTTTGTCCTGTTGGCCAACGCCTACGTCCTCCTCAAGCCTCGTCCCGTGCGTAGGGGACGGGGAGAGAAGGAGCCCATGGTGGACTGGGCGGCGTTCAAGGAGCTTCCGTACAATCTGCTCGCTGTGTCGAGCTTCTTGTTCTACTGGGCTGCCTACTTTGCATTTTACTACGTAAGTGATGCATCCTTGTCTTCAGAGTTGCCAACAACATACATAGCTCTCGTCATATTAGCGAGGCCATTCTTCAAAGGCTAACTGCATCTACCTGCCCCCACGACACAGTTTGGCACTTACGCTCAAGACGTCCTGCACCTCTCGTACGCATCGTCCTCCTCGGTGCTCATCATCTCCACCGCCTCGGGCATCCCCATGCGCGTCGCCGCCGGCTTCGTCGCCGACTACTACCTCGGCACCCTCAACACCTACGTCCTGTCCATCGTCTTCTTCGGGGCCGCCCACTTTGTCTGGATGGGGGCCTCGACCGCGCCGGCGCTCTACGCGTTCGCCGTCCTGTTCGGCTTCGGCACGGGCGCCACGCAGGGCATATGGCCCGGCACCGTGGTCGCGCTCACGCCGGACCCGAGCAAGGTCGGCGTGCGGTTCGGCATGGTCTGCACCATCGCGGCGTTCGCGGCGCTGGCGGGCCCGCCGACGGCCAGCGCGATCCTGCAGGGCTCCGGGGGCGCCTATCTCGGGGCGCAGGTGTGGGCCGCCGTGGTGATCCTCGTGGCTGCGGCCATCATGGCCGGGGCCCGTCTGAAGCTGAGCGGCAGGAGGCTCTGGGTCAAGGTTTGAAAAAAAAAAAAAAAAAAAAAAAAAAAAAAGGGAAGAGGCGAAATGCCTGTGGTTGCTTTTTTCTG